TCACCACACCCATCTAATTTTTTTTTTTAAACATTCTTCCATTTCAATGACAAAAATACATTAATGTCCATAACAATAAAGATATTAATAACTCCAGTATTGTTTAAATTATATACGCCAATATTATTCTCAACTTTTTGCATGTGTTTACTTATTTAATCTTCATAACAGTTCTATGAGAAAGTTACTATTAATTATTCTATTATTCTGATTTAAAAATAGAAAGTGAGGCACAGATTAAGTGTCCCAAAACTACAACTCATAAGTAGCAGAGTCAAGTTTTGAACCTAGGCAAGCAGTATTGAAATTCCACTTCAACCAAATATTACACCTATATGGTTGAAGCAAAAATAATTTGAGGAAGAAATAAAACAGTTATTCCAAGAAAAAGAAGAAACTATTATTTCAGTAGTACATATCAAGGATATCTTTTTAATAATTCCATTCACTTGAATGATTGAACTTTCATACCAGTAGAAATCATGTGAATGCATCAAGTAATACAAACGCTATTCATCTCAATCCATTACTTCCATTGCTATAGTTTATTTCTTTCATTGTTACTTCAACTTTGGAGAATTTATTTTTATCGTACTTATGGGGTTGAGAAATTTTATCTGTGAACCAGATTTTGTCCTTGATAATGAAAATGCACTGTTGGAAAAGCTAAAATCAAGAACAAATAAATGTATAGTAATTGTAACACTATAAATAACAGCTATAGCCTCAAGCATGCACCTGCAATGTATACATAAAGCATGTTTCTATTGTATCTCTTTAAGAATGAATATTTTTAAATGATAATGTGAAAAAAAAGTCCCATGGAATGACCTATATAAATATATAACAACTCTGTGCAAATATTTAATGAAATATGTCTTAGATTCAGATTTCAATGCCATTGACAATCTCTTGCAAGCTATTAATTTTATACGTATGATATGCCATTTAAATAGAGAAATTTCAGCAATCATTTACTAGCTGGTAAAAAAAATTTTCCTAAATTTAAATAATATTTGAAAATGTCAAGAAAGAATCACAAGAGTCAGTTTCATTTAAATAAATTTGACATATTAAAAAATTTGGAGCTTTTAAAGAAATAAAAAAGAAAGTATCCTAGACCTAATATAAGATGAAAGTGATAAAAGTCCATTATTTTCAAGAGAAAAGAGTCAATCATTTCTAAAAAACTATTTGACTTCTTGGGAACACTAGTTTGACTAAAATAAGCCTAGATTTTATGATTGGCCGATTATTAAAAAAATAGATCTCATATATTTAATTCTAATTTGTCAAATGAGGAAATTCATACACCAAATATAAAAGAAGAGCCTTTATATTTTTATATCAAAATTTGTACAAAACATCAATAGAATTAAAATTTGACTATATCAACACACCACAAAATAATTACCACTGTGACACAAATGGATAATATTAATTTCCATAAATCCTCAAAACAACTTTACTGGTTCTAGAAACTACAAAACTAAAACAATGATTGGCAAATGTCTACATTTTAACATTGAAAAGGCTTGATGAGGATCATATTTTTTTTGCAGAATATATGTTACTTTTCTAACAGTATCAATAAGCCCAAAGGGGCATCTATACACATTTCCAAGTTTCAATAATAGCCAAAGTATTAAATAACTAATCCTGTATAAAGCACTATTCCAAAGTAGAGTGTTTGGCCAATATACCTCTTCAGAGAGATACTGTAATTGCTTCACTCCACTTTCAATAAACGATCTATAATGAAAGTTGCTTTTTAGGCTTAACCTAGAGCTATGCCCTGTGGGAAACGATTGAGTCTTTGTAAAATGTGTTACAGTTTACTAATAAGAATGCAGCAGCAGCACAACTGATGAACCAGCAAATCTGTTCTGACTTATTTGGTCTTTGCTGAATAAATTTGAATATCATCAAAATACATTATCCTTATCCATAACCTGCTTCCTATGATTTGCTCTATCCTACACTCGTTTCAAAAGGAAATTTAAACACGTCAATATCTTATGTATTTGTGCTAGTCCTATGGCATTACATAAAACAAGAAAATTTTTTTTCTAGAAGACAAAAATAAAGCTTTGAATAGGAAAAGGTTACCACATAATTATTTAGAATCTAGAGAAAAACAGAGAACATTAATATAACAATATTTATGTTTGATACTGATATATAATATACAGAATTTGTCACCAAAAAAATACAAAATTATCTTTCTTAAAAGACATGGATTAAAAAATCCTCCTTTCACCATGATTGGCTGTCTTATCTTGAACACATCCATTAACCCCTCCCTCCATCCTCATCTCCCTCACTACTCCATTCTCATTCCCCTTCCCTTCCTTCTTTCCTCTTCTTTGTTCCTGATTCACACATGATTCATTTAACTTATACTGAAGGTATAGTACTTGCTGGGCATTGTGTCTGCCTATAATGATTTAAGGATGAACAAGACAAGTGTTCCACAGAGAAGCTCCTAATCTTTGTGGTATTAAAAAAATAATAATAACTATACTATAAAATACTAAGAAGAAAAAATAACTATACTATAAAATATTATGAAAAAGCTTAATTTATAATGCTTTGGAAGCAGACAAGGGATTATAATTAGTTTCCCTGAGATGGTGGCACATGAACTTAGTTTTGAAAATTATGTAAAATTACTCAACAAGAAGGTGTATGGGTGAGTGGGTGGGGTGAGGTAGGTATTTCTAACAAAAGAAGTAGGAGGCGTTAACATGCCACAGCCTGTAGCTGTGGCTTTAGGGTAGGAAGCAAATAGGGCAGTGATGGATCTCTCCAAAGTTGCGTGCACACACCAGAAGCTGCACAATACAAATACATGAGAAGAAAATATTGCAGCTTTTATTTATTGATTTTTTATTTTTTGAGATGGAGTCTCGCACTGTGGCCCAGGCTGGAGTGCAGTGTCCCCATCTCGGCTCACTGCAATCTCCGCCTCCTGGATTCAAGTTATTCTCCTGCCTCAGCCTCCCGAGTAGCTGGGACTACAGGCATGCCCACCACACTCAGCTAATTTTTTTTTTTTGTATTTTTAGTAGAGATGGGGTTTCACCATGTCGGCCAGGGTGGTCTCAATCTCCCGACCTCGTGATCCACCCACCTCGGCCTTCCAAAGCGCTGGGATTACAGTGTGAGCCACGGCGCCCAGCCACAGGTTTTATTTTTTAAATTATTCTTTTTAAAATTCTGCTCCTGTGCATAGCGTATTATGTGTCTAATATTTTATACATATATACATGTAGAAGACTTTATACACACACATATATAGATAGTATATGTCCTCAAAAAATTTTTAATTTATAGTATTGCAATTGAAGAAAAAGAAAGGATCTCATATTCTATATTCTCCTGTAGGTGATACATAGTAATAAAGAATTTTTTTAAATGAAGAACAATTAAAAGATCCACTTTGGCTATATCCTGGGAGGTAAATTTAAAGATGAGATCTAAGACAAATAAAGCAGTTATGAAACCACTTCAGTAATCTTGGTAGGAACTTAAATGATGATGGTAGCACAATGGAAATACCAAGCAAGAGGCAGAAGCTGCTATAA